AGTTGTTTTCTTTTTACATCTGTTAATTGAATGGAATTCTTTCTCTTATGTGGAAGAAGCAAACTCATAGTAAGCAAGACGGCTAAGAAGGAGGGCACAAAGATTCCTACGAAAATCAGAGCCCGCTCTCTATAAATAAAGTAAAATCGATCTTTACTTCAGCTGGAAACCTAAACCCGAACGTAGCTCTGTTGTTCGGCTATCTCTATAAAATATGATATTTTCCTACAACTCTACAAAGTATTGGCATCCTAGAGACGGTAGATAATGCAAGGTGGTATTATACATTTAACAATTTGATACAAAAATCATAAAACAAATCCAGTTCCCACGAGCCTTACAACAAGAAAATGAATCCAGTTCAACCATTGGCTAAAGAACCGAGTCGACAACACCAGTACCCGACGAGCATTTCTAGCAAATGTAGAAACGGTCCTGAGACCTTGTTGTGCAGGGAAATGACACATGCCAAAGCCTGAAAGAATTTTCACTTTCCTCAGATCATGGAGCTTGCTAAAGATAGTTCATGAAGCTCTAGTATCCATTCTTCCCCGTTTGACCTCCAAGGACTATGGCCCGAGTTCCTCCAACGATGCATTTACTGTGTCGCCACAAAGCTTGCTATGTGCGGAAATAGAGGAACGAGTTGTGGTTTTGAGCCTGACAGGGACACATTCAATACTTTGATAAGTGCATATGGTAGGTGTGGGATGGAAATCAATGCTGCAAAGACATATGATGAGATGATTATTGCGGGATTTACAACCTATAATGCACTTCTAAATGCCGTGGCTCATGGAGGGGATTGGAGAACGGCTGAATCTGTCATTTCCGATATGAGATACAAGGGCTTCAAGCCTACTAATGAAACTTCATATTCATATGAGTGAAATATTAATTCCCCATCAATCCGTTTCACCCAACCCTACACAACTGAATATAACCATGTTTACTTTAAGGTATAAATTCGACAATAATGCTATTCAAATAGGGTTTAAAAACAAGGGCTTTGACAGGTTCTGCGTTGACAGCACGTGTTTTTTTCTAACTGTCTACTCCCTTTTTTAAACTAAGCCTAGCATTGTAGCAAAATTGTAAATTTGATATGTAGATCAACTTTGTTGATGGGGTTAAAGAAAGAAAAATCCAACTTCTTATTCTTTGAGTGACAATAATTAATTTATGCTTCATCGGGACTAGTAATTTGA